ATTGGTGGAGCTGAAAGAAAATTGTCGCAAATGCCCGCCATGATAACCACACGTTACAAGCGTTTCCTGCTGCCAAAACTGCTGCTTATCAAAAACCCTATCCCTGCTCTTAAACTGTGAGATGATTTATACCTAAGGTGGCCTTGACATTTTGTGTAAGTGAGTCCACCCTTTCGCAACCAGCTCATTAACAAAACTTACCGTGGCGTGTCTTTCAGTACATATCCCACAAACCCAATTCTCTCACTGCCAACATTAACAACTTTAGACTTGACTATCAGAGGAGGTGTGCTGGGCCACTTTGGCTCCCGAGTGACGTTTAGATTTGAGACCACAACTGTAAAATTCAGCTGGCTGAGGAAGGACACCAAGTTGTCAACGCCGTCATCAAACTCGTGATTTCCAAGGGTCTGTTGAAGAAATAATTGAGTCGTTAATTACGACATAGCACGAAAAGGGCATCAGAGAATTTGTTGCACATAGATATTGGCAGTGTGAAGGCAAGACATTAATTGCATGCAATTTTTTATCGTCTGTTTTTTTACGTACGAAACGTTGTTTAACATTGAAAACCTACCATTTGAAGAAAAGGCTATCTTGCCAGATATCTATGGGAATTTCGATTTGAAGTTGTGTTTAGGAACAAGAAATTTTTCCCGTGTGGATTTACGGTTTGGGTTTTGTTTCTCAGTTTTCTTTAAATATTGTTAATGTAGCCTGATTTCTTACAGTAATGACAACGGTAATTATGTCGAAGAATATGCATTTGAGGCGAAGCGAAGCATGGCTAACAGCAATGTCTAACATAATAATATAACGTACCAAAGCTAGCTTTGTAAGAGAGCTCAACTTTTTTTAACAGGTGCAACTCTGAGAACAGTGTTTATACAGCTGCTTCGTTCTTCGGTTAGAATTCATCGGTAAGGAATAGCAAGAAAGCTTCAATACAAAAACTGAAGTTCACGAGCGTAAACTTTGAAAAACTGTGAGAAATAATTTATTCCACCGTGAAATATATTTGTACTTTCTTTTCTAAATTAACATTCTTAACTGCATTGTAATCGTCCTCTATTTTAAAATATAAACGTGGTCAGCCTAGCAAAAACGAGATCATTCTAAACTTACCATGATATCATATCCAAGTTCGTTCATGAACGTTCTGGTAGCATTTCCGCGAAAAACTTGATACCACACAGTTCCAGTGAAGACATCGCCGCCGGAAACGAGAAGTACATTCTTCGTTTGTGATCGAATTTTTTTTATCATCGTTGCTTTGCGAGCCATTCCTCCGAAACATTTGCTCGCTTGAGCGTCTTTAGGATAGCATAGGAAACCGTAGGTGTCTGTTTCTTCAAACCGCGCGTGATTATCGTTTGTATGCAGAAGAGTGAGTGAAAATCCTTGCGCCAGAGAGGATAAAGACAATGTCAAAAGCACAAGGGTGATTGACTTGAATAGTTCTAAAGCCTCCATGTTGTACTGAACCAGAAGCTCCGCGACACTTAAACACGTTGCAATTTAATACATGCAAGTTCACAAGGTTACGTAATGTCAGTCAGAGATGTCTTTCTCTCCTTCAGTTAAGATAAAAGTCCGAAAAAGTGTCATTAGTTGCACAACAACGACAAGAAAAAGAATTAAAACAATGAAATAAATGATATGCAATGTACAAGTGTGACAAAAGGCTTTATCTTTTGGCATAATTATTGCCCGGTTCCTGAATAGTTCTCGTCAGTCATTGGCCGTTTTCATACATGAGATGGATTATCCGTCTCTTGCCAACAAAACGTGTTCAAAATTCTTCTTTTTAAACGGATAGACAGACGAGTAAATTTAAAGTCAGACGGATTATTCGTATATAATGAAATCCGTCCCGTTTTCACACTTATTACTCTCCTAGCACAGTCGTTTCAATATTTCCTAGATATATCGGGAAAGAGTCGAGGGATCTAGAGAATCACGCAGATCTCGGAGCGAGGATGTTATCTACCCTCCTCGATCTGCAGAATTCTTCAGATCATACAAACATGAGCCGAATCGAATAATCGTCTTTATTACCCGCGAAATGACGACTGTGAAACAAGCGCAGAAATTTTAAACTATTGACGTGTCGTTACCGAGATCTGGCAAGTGCTTTTGATTGGTCGTGACCGGCGGGAAATTTGCCTCAACCAATCAGAAGCACAACCCAGATCTAGGTAGTGGCGCGTCATCAATATGAAATTTCCGCGCTTGTTCCTAGGATGTCATTTCGCGGAGAAGCCAGTGATGGCGTCGTTAAATGTCGACTGTTTTCTTAGGCAAACATGCAGACAGCAAAATATCCGACGCTTTTGGCCCCTTTTCAGACTCTCGCTAAAGGGGACACGAACTCGAGGTAGTGTCCGTTACAAAGGGAGTTGACTTAAGCGAGAGTTTATTTCAGTCAAATATCTATAACTCTTTTTTGCTTTGGGTTTAGCTGCTGTCCGTATTATCGGGGTGTCCGCAAGGCCAGAGGTGACTGTCCGGAACTGTGTGGGCGGGCCTTAGTAACGACAATGTACTGAATTTTGTGATGCAGGAGGCATGTAATCATTTACAAAGCTAAACAATGGCCCAGTTACACCACAGGTAGCCCAAGCTCACTATGAGAGCCCTGAACAACATTATCCTACTTAGCTAATTAATTATTCACACAGCAAGAAAATTATAAGACGTTGTATGGAGAAATATTCTTTGCTCACTAAATTAGCAAAATGTACATTGAATATCGCTCGGAAGCTTACCTTTAGTGTCTTCTTGTTTTTCTTTGTATTCTGACTGCATTTCACACCTCCAAGGCACTGTTTAAGGCCTTTTTTGGAGCGACAGTTTTTCACCCAGATGACAACAGTGCCTAATGTACATTTTGCTAATTTAGTGAACAAAGAATATTTCTCCATACAACGTCTTATCACTTTCTTGCTGTATGAATAATTAATTAGCTAAGTAGGATAATGTTGTTCAGAGCTCGCATAGTGAGCTTGGGCTACCTGTGGTTACACTGAGCTTGACCTTGCTCAGAGGTGAGGGCGTCTAAAAGACTTTGTAGGACTGCATGGGTTCAGGCATTTCGTGTCACTAAGTTCGCGTTATTACCGACGAATAAAACATTTTTTTCAACAACTTTATTGGTTTTAGATGAAAATGCGAATGTTATATAAAAGCCAAGTACAATATGGCATGAAAAGCCATAATAATATTTGTGGTGATAATAATTCACTAGAACAACCACTATGTAAGATAGTCTTAAGATATATACATGTACTCCGAACAGGCATTAAAATTAGCGCGCACTATGATTGGAAAAACGATTTCCTTATGTCCATAAAACACGCGGCCTTTTTTATCATCACAAATACATGCCCCTTATGGTACACTTTATTTAACGCCCGTTCAGACACCGAACTTTTCATGAGCCGAACCTTATACATTGAATTAAGTACATGAAAACTTCGGCGCCTGATTCCATTTGGAACGGCTCGGCCGTTCTTCCCGCCTAGCACGGCCGTTTTTTTTTCGGGGAAAGCGCGAAAGTGGGTGGACGGGTACCCTGACCCCTCGTCTCCCAAACAAGGGAGAAGAAGGACCTCCTGGTGGCAGGTTAACTTTGGATCGACATTGGAACGGCTTTGATTCGATGCCGAACATTTCAATGCATTATAACCTTTTTTGTAAGCAGTTTGACCAAAATGAGCAATTTACTTCGGCTGGAAATAAGATCGGCGTCTGAATCAATTCGGCCAAACGAAATAATTTGGATCGGCCTTAATTCGAATCAGGTTCGGCTCATGAAAGTTCGGCGTCTGAACCTGGCCTAAGGGCAGTAAATAATCTCCGCACAGCTGATTAATAAGGTTGCTCGAAACTAGACTCCAACTAGAATTGAGAGGAGCAGACGAGAAACTGAGACTACTGCGAGGAATTGACAGAAATAACGCACTCAACAGTAAATCGTGCATCTGCAAGCAATTTTTTTTCCGTGCAATTTTAAATTCTCGTCTGCTTATATATCATCACTCTGGCTCTAAAATTAAGGCACGTATAGATGAAGTTACTTATGGCATCACTACTTATAATCTGGAACATTACTATCTAACTATACTGATTACATCTGCCATAGTCGAGCCACATTCGCTTCAAGCAATGCTTACGAGTTGCGGTAGCTGTCAAACCTGGTCTCTAGATTACGTGTTTTACAACTAAGAATGCAAAAGCAGCGAGAGGGGCTAAAAGCATATTCACAGCCTGTAAGTTTCCTCCGCCTCCGCCTCCGCATATGGTAGGTATTTCGTCCGATCCCTCCACAAAGGTGATCCTGTTTTCTTCTCCAGTCATTATGGGAGACTTGGCCTTGAAATAGTTCATCATCATTTCTTGGTCGACTATGCTGCCAAATTGATGGGAGAGTTTCTTTTCCCTGATGACAGTCAGCCCTGCTCCACCGGCAGCTATGTAGTCAGTCATGGCCACTTTGTACACAGCAGATTTATCGAGTGGTTCATAAACTGGGAATTTGCATTTTGCGCAGCGTACTTGGATATCGACCACCCTGCTTCCTTTTGGCTTTGACATATCGTACTTTATCTGGAGTCCTGAAAAACAAGACAATTGACGAATTACGGATGACGGTCCACACGAGTTCATTACGCTTTAAAACGCGATATGGTCGCTTATTTGAATTTACTAATGTGTTTTGAAACAGTGGATGTTAAGATGTCATTTCGAAATGATTAAAGGTTTTTGCTAACCGTTAAGAGTAAGCCAAATGTAAATCGTTTATGATAAAAGAGATTAGCAGATGAAGTATACGTGTATTGTCTTTCGCCGACCGGTTAGCTCAGTTGGGAGAGCGCCGCTCTGCTGAGTGGGAGGTCACGGGTTCAAATCCCGGCCGGATCAACACTCAGGGTCTTTAAATAACTGAGACGAAAGGGCTGCCTTGTAATGCAAACGGTTAGACTTTCTAGTCTTCTCAGATAAGGACGAAAAGCCGTAGGTCTAGGCTCACGGCACTTTCACTGATCTGGTTCATGTGGGACGTAAAAAAACCCACACCACTGTTCGAAAAGAGTAGGGGATGTAGACCCCGGGGGTATGGCCAACGTAACCTTTCCTGGGCTGGGAGGGTTATCTGTAAAGAGAGATCGTAATATAGGGCCCAATATTCTCCTTCAGGTGTCGTAATTGCTACCTGTAAACACTGTAAAAATGTATGTGTGTCTTAAGGCATAAATCGTCATTTTTCAGAGGTTTTTCCATGCCTTGGCATTGTTTTGTTGTTTCTGTTGTTGTTTGTTTCTTTGTCCTTCAATATTTTTGTGTGATATTTGAAACAGAGAATAAAGATACCTGACACTTGTAGGAATGATATGTCTGGCTTATCTTTATCATACAAAGACGCCACTTGTTCAAAAACCTGGGCAAGGTCCTCTCCTTTCAGTTCTACAAGATCCACTATGTTTCTGTACGGGAAGCTGTTCACAATATGACCGTATGTAATAGCACCTGAAAAAAGGGAAGCTTTAAAGACTGTAATAGCTAAAGGAGGGGAAAAAATTTCATCAGATCAATTCCTTTAAAGGGCACGCTGTGAAAGCCAAGCCAGGAGCGCGAAATTGAGAAGCAAGCGCGATAACCGAGAGTTTCAGACAAACGATGAAGAAGGCGAGGCGCGAACGATATCTTGTGCAGTTATGCGCCATTTGTTGGCGACCAAATATGTTTGAAGCTATGCCCAAGATCATTACCGATAGTAACCATAGTAACGGTTTGAACAGACATTTGCCGCAGGTTACATAGACAATGGCCTGGTACAAATTAACGTCCTTCGCGGTTGTGCGTAGTTCCGCTGCGAAGCTTTCGCTTTTGTTGTTTCCTTGCTTTCCTGAGCTACAACAACAGCAAAAATTTATTATTATTATTATTATTCCATAGTAAGTTACAATAGATGGTTTTCACAGTGACGTCATCAAATTGTAAAGTCGAAATAGCGAGGTTTTACGAATTCTTATTTACACTAGGTTGAAGATAAACAAAAAATAAATCATTGTACCAGTTTCCAGTCCTGTAGCATGTTTCATTTCGAAAATACAGCAATTTGAACTTCCGAGTTTTCCCAGTGCGTGACACCAAAATGGGAATGCTGTCTCGTTGAAACTGAAAAAAGTCTGTCCTCTTGTTTTTCAGCAGTGTAACCATTTCAAATATTAGAAGATATGTTTATGTGCACGTATGCTAGTTCTCGAGTGAAAAGAAAGAGCTTTTATAGAAAAAGTGAACTCCAGATTTTCTTGTTGATTTCCGGCGGCCATATTGGTGCACCAAAACGGTGCACCAATATGGCGTCTCCATACAAAGCTCTACAAAGGCATGGTAAGGATGGCAAAAATGGAAATGGACCAAATCTTGAAAAAGTTGGGCCAACACATCTTTCAAGTTTAATGCTATGCCTGCAAAAATCACCAATAAAATGCTATGGTTAGTGCTCCCTGATCAGTGCCGGATCCAGGGGAGGGGCCCGGGGGCGCGCGGACCCCGCCCCCTTATTTTTAGACGAAACTGAGGCCCGAAGGGCCGAAAAAAGTTTTTTTGCAGACCGCCCCCCTCCCCCCCTTCCCTGCATATCTAAGGGTCTGGATGACCGGGACCCCCTTATCTCAAGGTCTAGATCCGGCACTAAGTAATGATTACAGCACAGAATTCGCTTAAAACAGCAAGATCCTTATGACATAACCCCTTTACAGTCAACTCTCGCCTTGCGGACACCCTGGTAATACGGACAGCAGCTAAATCCTAGGCAAAAGTGAATTACTGATATTTGACTGAAATAAACTTCCGCTATAAAGGACACTCGCTAATGAGAACACTAACTTGAGGTCCCTATAGTGTCCTCTTTAAAGGGAGTTGACTGCACAGTAATTTTCAAGGAGTTATTATAACTCCTCTAGTGGGGTTAATTTAACTCCTTACAGTGGAGTTATTTTTTTGGGAGTTATTTTAACTCCAAAAAGGAGTTTAAAGAACTCTTTTTCAGAAATAAAAATGACCCCTGATATTGCGGAGTTAAAATAACCCACAAAAAGGAGTTATCCTGTACCTAAAAGTTTTACTCCACTTTCAGAAATAAAGTAACTCCAAAAAGAATTTAAAAAACCCATGTAAGGAGTAAAAATAACCCCANTTCTGTGTATTGAAATACCTTCTTCAGTTGGATAAATAGACGCAGGAATACTGTTGGAGTTTTGAATTGCAATACTTGTATTAGTCCACTGTGCACCAGTGTGTGAGTTGTTCGTGTTGGTGTAATGAAATACCATAGCGTCTGTAACAACGTTTGGTAAATTGCATTCTTTGAGCATGCAAACTGATTTGTTTCCGTACAGGAAAACAAAACTGGACCCCACTTTGACCTGAAAAACAAAGGATTCCAATCTTGTCATGAACCATTAGCTTGCGTTACAGCCGGCCCACGCACTCCTCTAAACTATTTGCTCTATATTAAAGTCTGCGCGTACGTACCTTTTTTGACTGAGGTGTTGAGGGCGGAAGGTAAGGGAATATGTTTCGGGAGTCCAAATGAGTGTGGATTTTGGTAATACTTAGATTAAGCCAAGTCTTGAAGCTGAGCTCCAGTCAAAGGAGCTTCTTCCACTGTATTCGGCTAAATACAGTCGAAACACCCGTAACCGACCACCAAAAATGCAAAGATAAATGGTCGCCTAGAAGATCGAGCCACAGAAAGTCTTTTCGCGACGAGGTCCCGACACTTCTACTTTTTAGAAAAAAACCTTATTGCATACAGTTTCTGCGTTTCTGCGTTACGATATGTTCTACTCCATATTGTCACCAAGAGTTTATCGTGTACTCTGCCGAATAATATGGTACATATAGCGAACAAAGAGATCAAACCATACCGTAGTCGAGCGGTCGCTTACAAGAAGTTTAAAAACAATGTCTGTCAAAACTGTCAACCCAAATAGTGATCGCGCTCGCTTATCAGAAATGGTTATTTACGAGAGTTTCGAAGGAGAGGATTTTAACTGGAAAATTTTGGTGTTTTGAATAGGTGGTCGGTTATGGAAGTTGGCCGCTTAGGACAGGTGGTCGCACATAGAGGTTAGATTGTACCCAAGGGAGGGACGACCGGGATTCTCGTCGTCTCGCTTTAGAGTGTAAATTGCAGATTTTGGTCTCACTTAAGGTGTTTGAGATGGGAAGTTACTATATTTGCCCATTTAGGTATCGCTTGATACTGCTTATAAAGAAAGTTACAAAAAATGCCCTGACACTGAAAACATAAAAATCTCCCTTAGGGGCCAGTTAAGCTTGAGGCACACCCACATTGGTCTCCCTTAGGGGTTTAATTTGAATTTTCCGACAAGCATACCCATCACTTTTATAGGGACGTACGCCCGGGGATTGTACTAAATTGTACTATTAAAAACATTTTTGCAATTTCCAAAATCCTCTGTTTCAGTTGTTTCAGTTGTCATTCCAAAGTTACTTGGGGATCATTTCGGGGTCAAAACAGCAAATAAAAAACGAAAAGTTTTTGTGATAAACGACGGTTAAGACGTTCGTCTTGAAAATTAGCGGGAAAATAACGAATTTTGACTTGAAAACAAGAGAAAGAATTATACTTGCGGGCAACCCATTCCTGTCAAAATTAGTATATACGCAAAATCCTCAGGCGATACGATAGAATTTTTGAATAATTTTAATGATTCTCTTTTTTTGCGCCTTAATGCTTCCACGAGTATGAACGATTCCGACAAAAGAGAAAAAATGACTTTTCGTTCCTCGGCCTTAAACTCAAGAAGTTGACGTAACAGCCTGTTATATCTCCGCTATGTTTTGCACAGGCTGATCAAGGACACAGATTGAAAAGTTTCAAAAAAATCTTACCTCCGAAACTTTCGCCACCTCAGCCTTCCACCGCTCAACCTGTCCCAGAATCGTTGCGTCTTGGGCTACAGAATTGTCCAACAGTATTGGATTACCAGACCAAGAAGTCAAATCGCCATTGTCATCAAAATCAACCTTTAAATTCCCTAGGTATTTGCTGAAAGCATACGCCTGAACCACAAGCACTTTTCCCTCTGGTTTGCTGTTGGGTGTAATCACCATAGGATATGGACCGTAAGGCGTCTCTATTGATGGGGGTTTACCTGAATAAAGCAGGGTTAAAACCCAACGATAAGTCATCATTTTTACGCACGGTAACGTTTGTACAAAATAAAGCTAGATTTTTAAGTTGTAGTTGTTGGTGATTATTTTTTAATGTACCGTATAGCTTAGATCAAGCCAAAACAAAATGCCAATATAAGATCAACCTAAGTTAGAAAGAGTCCAACGGCCATCAGGAAGGGCTGGGCTGAAAACTCTAGACGATTTGTACGCAAAAGATCATTAAGAGACGACGGTCGTCTGCCACGAAGTTGATAGACCTAGGTCAAAGGAAAAAAATTGCACGAACTCTATGAAAGTACTTGACTTCAGAGCTCAGGTTGAAGATAGTTTATTTATGCTTTACCAATTACTTGTTGGTTTTTTTGGACATTTCCGTAATAGATCAATTTGTAAGTGGTTAAACGTATGTTAATCAAGTCATTTGTCGAGAAAGGAAAGAGAAATTCAGTCTTATTCAAACACTTTGACGTTAACTAAACGAGAAAATTGCAAGAACTTTATGAAAAATACGTCAAAGCTTAGGTTGATCTGTTGATATTGTACTGTTTCATTCCTTTACCAGTATATCCAGAGTTCTTATAATCTTTTGTTTTAGGTGAGTTAGTGAAGCGCACAAAGCAGGGGTTATGCTTTGCGCATGCGTACTGGCTAGGTAGGAGATTAGCAACGCGAGTGATTCTTTAGCCTGCTTCTAAGGCGTTTCTGGGGGGAAAGGGAGAAGAGAGAAGCGAAAATGGGAGACTATCTTCCAGCCTATTCCTCCTTCTCTTCTAAAAGGTAGGAGCAAGGGTAGGATTACCATAAGCTTAGGGATACAGGTAAAACATGGTTAAGGACAGTTGTTTACCTGTGTAAAGTAAGGCGTGTTCGTGACCTCCTACCACGATATCCACTCCATCAACTTCTTTGGCTACTTTTTGGTCGATGTCGATGCCTGAGTGACCGATGGCAATAATCTTGTTGATGTTCTGTCGCTTGAGTTCTTCCACAGCTTTCCTCACTGACTCTACCTCATTTAGGAATTTGATATTAGGTCCAGGACCAGGTCTAGACAACCAACATTGAAGAAAGAAGGCATTTTTTAGCTCAAAATGTATGTGAAAACACAAGCAAAAGTGTGATGCCTTATCCCGGGGGGGACTTCGCATATCGAAGGGGTGGGGATGCTCGTCGGAAATTTTAAATTAACCCCTAAAAGAGACCGATCTGGGCGTAGCCAGTACTTTATTTTGACCCCTAAAAGAGACCATGTTAAAACACAGTCAATACACATATTTTAATATTTTTTCTCGTGCAACCCTAAACGAGACCTTCACGGTTAAATATTAGGGCGTTTTGCCCAGAACACCCTAAGTGAGACCAAAATCTGAAATTTAAACCCCTAAGCGAGACGACGAGCATCCCCACCCCTTTCATATGCGGAGTCTCCCCCTCCCCGTGCCTTATTAACTTACAGTGTCGATCCCCTCTTTACATATCCCACAAAGCCAATTCTCTCGCCGCTAACATTGAGAACTTTAGATGTGACTATCAGGGGAGGTGTGCTGGACAACAATGGCTCCTGGGTGAAGTTAAGATTTGAGGCCACAACTGGGAAATTCAGATGGCTGATGAAGGACACCAAGTTCTCAACGCCATCATCAAACTCGTGATTTCCAAGGGTCTGTCAAGAAAAGAATTAAAAACTGAGACGGCTGTTAATTCTATCACCCCATGTAAGGTTATTGAAGACGGTCTTCAGGGTCTTGGATTTTGGAATCCTCGCTGTCAATTCCGGTAAAAAAACGCCATTTATCAAAATAGTAATTCTAGTGAAATTATTACTTTGCGAAAAAGGTAAAAATCCGTCATTATTCGTTAACTATTACTTCCAAACACGTTGTCAATGTTGTCTTACACTGTGTTTAGGATAATAAGCATTTTTTCTCTATCCACCATATCTTTCATTTCGTTTCGTTTCGTTTCGTCTCGCGGAATAGAATAAGCCCGTATTAACGTACAGCTGAACGTAATACGTTATCGTCAGGGCCGTGTTTGTGTTTGTGTTCATGTTTTTCTGGCCTCTTGAAAGTTGACAATTTATGTCACAAAGGGAATTCAAAGCAGTTGTTTACGTAATTGTGAAATCAGTAAGAGTGCAGTGGTGATTGACGAAAGCTTTGTAAATGAATTATTTATGCGACAAACAGTAAAAGAGTACATAACTCGTTGCCGGGGGGGGGGTACTCCCTATAACGGCCTATAAAGGGAGCCTCCGCCCTAAAGGGGTACCTTTTGCTGGTTTCAGGTATATGAACGGGTAGGGATTTCACTTGATGAAGTATATGAAAGAGTAGGGATATCTACCATTTCGGTCGGTTAAAAGGCCCAAAGGGCCGGGACTATGCATTTTGTGGTTATGAAAAAGTGAAGAAAACGTTCTGTTTTTGTAATTTATTTATATTCCATTTAAAAAATAGTGCATTTACAGCATTTACTAGGAATGCAAAATTCTAACCTAGGTATGTGAAAGGGACACCTTTTGTCAATAGGGGCACTCTTCTGTCAAAAATGGCATATAAAGGGTATAAGGGGTCAGACCTCGGTGCGGAGCCTCCCTGTATAAAATTCTGCTAAGTACCTCCCTCCCCTCGCGGGACCCGTTGTTGGTGTCCGACTGATTGTGAAGAATCCTTTACATCAACTCCGACAAAAAAATCAAGTGTGAAGGTTCTGCGTACTGAGCCCTTATTTCGTGGTAAGTGTCTGCGAGTATTTTGCAGACTGGTTACTCTAATACATGGCACAGCAATTCTCTTGGGAAGGTACGAAAAGTTTACATTTACAGAGGTAATTTCCCCAATGCTACAAATTCCTTACAACTTTACTTCACGGAGTTAAAACGAAGAAAACAATATCTGACGTGAATATCTCACATATCTATTCTTATCAATATTAGCTGGTGACACGCAAAGGCTCTCGCACTTGTTTGTGTCGAATCTAAATTCTCTGTTGGATACTTGTAATATGATTGAAATCGAGTGTTACTTCGACTGACAATATACATGGTTTACATACACGATCAGGAGAGAAACGATTCACGACATCACGCGATCACGATTGAATTTCTTTACATCAAAGAGAGCCGATGTACTAACGATTCTTTAAGCTCGAATGTAGGGCGTTGTACCACAGTGCGCTTTATGTGAAGTTTAGGCAGCCAAAACCTGAATATAAAAAAAAACCTATATCCTGTAAAGAAGTAGACGGTCTTCACTAGCTGAACAATAAACTATTTCCTGTAGAGGAGCAAGCTGTCTGCATTAGCTGAAAAACCTGAACTACAAGTTACCCTTTTTCTACCAAGGGATAAAAACATACCCTTTGCTAAGCTGAGGTACTCGATTTACTCACCATGATATCATACCCAAGTTCGTTCATGAAAAATCTCGTAGCATTACCGCGGTAAACTCGGTACCATATTGTTCCGGTTAAAACATCTCCGCCAGAAATTAGCAGTACATTCTTCGTCTCTGATCGAATTTTTTTGATCATCGTTGCTTTACGAGCCATTCCTCCATAACACTCGCCCGCTTGAGCGTCGCTGGGATTGCATAGGAAGCCGCGGACGTTTGTTTCTTCAAACCGCGCGTGGTTATCGTTAGTGTGTAAAATAGTCAGCGAAAATCCTTGGGCCAAGGATAATACAGATACAGAAAGTAAAACGAGAGTGATTGCTTTGACCGTTGTTGCAGCCTCCATAATGTCAAGGGCTCTAGGGGTTGAGCAGCGACTCTGGCAAGGGTGACAAGGTTGACAAGGCCTCTAATAACGTGATTTCAGCCACACAAAGAGATTGCATAATTGGCACCGAAGACACACCCCTGATCGTAAATCAATTGATTTTTCAGGCTGGTAACCATGGTATCCGTTCGGCTCTCGAAATAATCCATAACTCCAAATGGTTTCCAATATCTTCCTATCGAGCACAAAATGATTATTTGCCATGTACGGAATGGTAAAAATTACCAATAACAACACAACTTCATTTATCTAGCTTCTGGTGGTGGGAGAAAGATTTATAGCGTTTCCATTTCGTTTGAGTTTACTCTTTCGGAAATTAACTTCTTGGCAAGGGTTTTCTAGTCCTGTGGATTCTAGCTTGATTAATAATACCTGCCAAAGATAATTAAATTTAAATTTAATTTGTTCCATTCGTAACAAAATATAAATCACACGACGGTGACACATGAAAAAGAGCAAGGAGCCTGATATAGATTAAAAGATTATTCTCATTCACGGAAAATGCATCTGCTTTAATTTTATCATAACAACTATAACAACGAAAAAACTAAGTAGGGGTCCAATTTCCTTCTGTTTTGCTTTCTTTAATTTTCAATTATTTTTTTTATCGAACGAAAACAACAGAAAGCCGGAAACAAAAAAAGCAATTAACCTCTACCCCCGAGCGGTTGTTTTACTGAAGCCTAGCCTGCACTGCAGGCGTTTTCCTCGGGCGCGCGAATGTTTTTGCTCGCGATGAAACTCCTGAAGAGAGGAGGAAATGGGGCGAGTCAAAGGGACCCTTCCCCTCCCCCGTTTCCTTTTTTCGCCCTCGAACCTCCCTCGAATTTACCCTAAGGATTACTTTTTCTACTCTCCCCAATCTTCCTCTGTCATAAAATCAAAGACGGCGGCTACAATAATGCTAGCCTGCGAAGCGCAGACGCATTTCCGGTCGTCGCTTCTCTTCCTCCGAAAAATAGCCTGCGAAGCGCAGACGCATTTCCGGTCGTCGCTTCTCTCCCTCCGAAAAATAGCTATTTTTCGGAGGGAGAGAAGCGACGACCGGAAATGCGTCTGCGCTTCGCAGGCTACAATAATGCGAACATGAACAAGCTTTCTCCCACCCAAAGTACGCCTGCACTACAGGCTAACTGAAGCCATAATCGCTGATAATGGATCGCCCATTTAACGTTCAAGTGGTAGCCGATCGCGAAGCGTTGTTTGATGATTACAGAAAAAAATACAGATACCTGCAAATCGGGAAATGGAACGACAAATATCCTCTTTTAGTAAAATCCAACTAGTGGTCTATTATCAATGCTGCGTTCTGATTGGTTGAGCCACTACTAGGCTATATTTTATAGCCCACTAGTAGCGAAAAGCGCGGGCTTTTTGGCGGCAAAAGAGGATTAAAGTCTAGCTTTAACTAGCTAAACTTTTTTTATTCTAGATATTTTTGACCAACTAGTTGGATTATACTAAAACAATTATTCCTCTCTCCCTCATGGCCTCTGAGTCAAAAGCTTATTCGGCCTTCGGCCTTCAGCCTCATGGGCTATTGTTTCAGAGCCCATTCGGGCTTGAGGAATAATTGTTAAGTATCGTATATTGAGTTAATAGTCTCATTTTTACACCACAAAATTAGATTAAATTAGATTATGCTGGTAGGTTTGGAAACTCAAAATTTAAAATTAGATCACTTAACTCTGTTTTCCCACCAAACTCCGATGTGACCCCCCAATTTTTTTAAATGTATTTTTCATTATTTGTGTTAATTTTTATTATTAGAAATGAAACAAAGGCGACAGAACAGAAAGGAAAAACAAGCATCACTTTAAAGTATTTCAATTTACAAGTCGCAATATGCGTTTGATACATGCCCTTTTCTCTCTGACTTGTCTGCATTTCGTTAATTTAACTTGCTGACTCTTTGCCCTAAAATTTTCTTCAAAAGTAGTTTTTCTTTTTTTCCGGTACTGAGAATAGCATCTAAAGCTATGTTCTCGCTTGGAGCCCCGGCAAAGTACCCGAGTACCGTATTCAGTTCGATTAACTACCCTAGGCGCTTATTAAATTTTTTGGACCTTGAGAATAGGCGCTTATTCGAGGTGGACGCTTGTTAAATTTTTACTGTTTTCAGCAAGTGTAGTATGTTTATTTTGCAACAAATCAGCAAATGGTAATACCAAAACGCGAAGATGTAACAAAGCAAGGTTGCTGTAAAATTCTCTGAAGAAAACTCCGTCTTCGGGGAAGTCTCTTATTAGTACTTATTCAGTTTTGCTGGGTGGGAGGGGGAAGGGTTTAGGTTTTGGTTGTGGGCGCTTATTTGAGTTTGAGTGGAAGGGGGAAAGGGCGGGCGCTTATTCGAGGCTGGGCGCTTATTAACTCTTTCTGCGTTTAGGATGGGCGCTTATTCGAGGTGGGTGCTAATTCGAGGTTGGGCGCTTATTCGAATAAATACGGTATAGTTAACAATACTCTGCGCTTTGTTGCTGTTTTGAGAGTTGTGAGAACAATAAACATTTTTCTAGTCCCAAAGCCAGAATTCAGCCACGGGGACGCTGCTTGAGTTCAGGGAAAACTTGCCCTCAGGAACAGAAGTGGGCACTAGGTCCCTACCCCGGTACCCATTTTCACGCACTGTCCACACTTGGTGCTCGGGAATCAGTGCCTGGGTATTGTGTTTAATTCACACCTTGAGTAACCGATATGTGACTGTGTTCTGTCTGTACATAGTTACTCCATGTAGCCCTGTCAGATGCCATTTTGAAACATGAGCTTAGTAGAGAGCACAAAGAAGTGGAATTCCGCAGAACTGACAAAAACGGTATGTACACCGGGACCCGGTGCTCACTATTGTGCACGAGAACAAATCTCGACCTTGTGCTGAGGCACAGGCACCGTTGTAACCTGTTCCAGGCGTTCAGATAGTGGAGCGCGGCGCGACGTCAGAGAGCGAGGAAAAAATAAGAAGGAAGAGAGGGAGAGGGAGAGAGGAGGGAACGGCGTTCCTTTGTTTTCACCCCCTTTCTCACCCCATCGCTCTTTTTTCTTTCTTCTGCTCACATCTCTTTGCGCAGTCCCCACGATCTGAACTCCTGGAACAGGCCAGCACATTTCCGGAATTCTAGTTTGGGTACTTAAAAAAAGGGCTGAGTTCACATTACAGTCAACTCTAGCCGCTATAACGGACACCTCGATAATATGGACAGCAGCTTAATCCCAGGGAAAAAAATTACAGATGTTTGACTGAAATAAACTTCCACTATACGGCGGATTAACGCTAATGAGGACACTAACTGGTACCCAAAGTGCTGAGAGGGTCTGAATTGGGGTACCTTGATAATACTTAACACTTGTTTTGGCTTTCAACATGAAAAAGTTTAATTTTGAGGATTTTAATAGTGACAGTAAAAATTTCACTATAACAGTAATTTTTTTTTCCAGAAAGAAACAAAAACGGCTCCAAAAAGTCCAGATTATTACTTTTATTGTATATCAAGGAGTTCAAGGAGTTTCGGCCATTTTCCGACAATTCCCAATTATTTCAAAAGATTTCCGAACACTACCGAAGATGTCCAAAGATTGCTCGTCCCAGCCCTTTTGAGCACAGGCTCAAAGTCATGAGTGATTTTATTGTCGACTTTTACCAAGAGCAGATAAGAATTGACCAGCCTAAGACTATGGGTTTTCGCTAAAAACCCACCCCTGGTTTCCCCGGAACAGTAAATATTAAAAAATAAGCCAATTTAACAGCAAACACTAAAAATTATGGGCAAATATCGCTTAAAACAAAACCCCATTCAGATCCCCTACTGATTACCGAGGAGATAATGGTACAGGTATTCCCTTTGTTCTTTTTTCCACTTATAAAAGAAAGGAACAAAATGCCCACACTTATAGTTAATTGTGGTAGCACAAGCTTGTTACCTCTTTCGTTCATCCTCGTATTCATCTGATTAATTTACATATTCATCCTATAGCAGGTGTCAGTATGTCAGATCCGACATCTGGAAAGAAACGTTAGCACAAACAAAATCTTCTTCAAAGTTGAATTTTAATTAGCTGCAAAGCAGGTTTGAAGTGCGTTGATGTCTGTATATTTCATGTCAGTCTTACAGGCTATCCAAAAGAAGCTAAAAATCAAGGTAAGAAAGAAATTCTCTTAACTGAAATGCCATAAGTATTGTTCATGTATGTAGCTTAGAGTTAATGGAAGCGAGTGCCTGGTTTGTAACTAAAACTGAACGGCTCCGGAAGTCTCTAACTATAATTTTAACTCAGGTAACGTGTCAATCAACCTTATCGTCGAGAACTGGTTCATGGCAATATCATGTACTAGTGAAACTCCTCTCCGGTATACAGTCCATTAGATGCCGACATAAATTATTTATTTGTTGTAGTCCAGGATTTACGGAAAATAAGGCTGTGCAGAATTTTTAATATTAGCATCGAATCGAAGTTCCGATTTCAAGGCACCGTAGCAAGATACAGCATTTCCGATGGAATTACTTTAATGGAGTTTTTCATGCAGCTGTTAGGTCTTATCATGTGATAAGAATGGCCGTTTTTATGCTAGAGACGTTAAAGTTGTCTGAGACGTTAAAGTTGTCTTAAGACGACTTTAACGTCTAGTATGAAAACAGTAAATAAGGCAGACGACTTTAACGTCTTCTGTTAAGTGCGTCGGTCGGACGCATTTAACAGAAGACGTCAAATGCGTCTGTCTTATTTACCGTTTTTATATTATAGACGTTAAAGCCGCCGTCTTAAGACGACTTACCGTCTCAGACGACTTAAACGTTTCTAGCATAAAAACGGCCAATACAAGTTTCTGACGGAACTTGCGTTTTATACAAGGTGAAATTACGCTTTTTTGATAGAATTTTGCAGTTTTGAAAAACGCATTTTTATCTGGAACGTGACAGTTTTTCTCAAGTTTTGCGTTTGAACACGGCCAGCTAGACCTCTGT